CCTCCTCCTCTTCTTCTTCTCCTTCTCCTCCTCCTTTTCAGCTCCTTTTCCTCCAATCCACAAACTCCCCGTCCTTTCTAGCACTGCTGAAGTTACCTTTTTGGGTGATGAAATGTCCAAGAAAACCACCAAGCTCAAAGAGCACCAAGGACCCATAGTGATTCTCCTCCTCCCCATCCTTCCTTCCTTCCTTCCTTCCTCCTCCTCCCCCTCCTCTTTTGCTCTACTCCGCAATCCCCACTGTCTAGCACTGATGATGTTACCCTAGTTGGGTAATAAACCATCTGCAGCAAAACCACCAAGCTCGGAAACCAACTCAGATCCCCACATTTAGCAACTGTTCAAAATGATGAAGGCCCTGGGGGGAAAAGTACCTTGAAGCTGGTCCTCAAACCTAAGACCATTGCAACATCCCTGCAGTCACGTGACTGAAACTCAGGTGCTTGGCCATGGGGCTCACATTTACAACGGTTGTGGGATCCCGCAATCACGGGATCACTATTTAGGATCTTCTCAGCCGGTTATGACATGCGAAGACGACAGCGGGGGAGGCTGGATTTGTATAATTACCCTGGTGACTCACTTAGGGACTGCAGGCAAAAAGATAATAAAATCAGACACGCTCCTGTAAGGACTTATCGTGGCTGGCTGTCAGAATTCCGGCAATTACCCCAAATTAAAATCATGGTCTTGAGCCAAACTTCCAAAACGATTTATTGGGAGTTAACATGTCCGGCACTGCCTGGGTGTAGCCGACTCTGAGACATATAATTCATTGTCACCCTTGACCCTGGTTTTCCCCCTACCCCCTGGGAGTATCATAATTCATATTCTCCAATGAGGCACATCCATAGCCAAGAGTCATCAATCATGCTCTCCAGTTAGAATGGCAGAAACTTCAGTCACCTAATTACTATATTTGAAAAACTATGTATGGAATGCACTTTCGATTTCCAAGCTGCCGCACTTGCTCTTTCAAACCCCTTTCCCCCCTCCCTTTCTGTTGGCAACTCTAAAATGTCCATAGAAATATTTTATGAGTTGACACTGATTACTACATTGTTTAGCCACGAAAGGTCCAGTCTCAATTGTAATTCGAATATTACTTTTACTTATTAGAGGAGGAGGAGGCCCAAATAGATTCCACTTACACGGCCCAGTTCTGAAGAGCTAAAGGCCCAGTAGTGGGGCATGGCCCTGGGGTTGGGGACCCCTGTTCTAGGCTGATGAAGCATCCACAACTTCTGGTGGCAGGCTGTTCCACTGGTTAATTGTTCTCACTGTCGGGAAATTCCTCCTGAGTTCCAGATTGCTTCTCTCCTTGATGAGTTTCCATCCGTTGTTTCTTGTCCTGCCTTCAGGGGCTTTGAGCCCCTCAAATATTGGAAGACTGGCAGCTGGTTCATACTTATGACCGTTGCTGTGTCCCAAGATCATGTGATTTCAACCCCCCCCCCCCTTTGCAGCCTTCCGACAAGCCAAGTCAGTGGAGAAGCCAGATTCACTTAACAACAGTGTGACTAACTTATCCACTGCAATGATTCACTTAACAACTGTGGCTGGAAAGGTCGTAAAAATGGGGCAAAGCTCCCTTAACCAATGTCTCACTTAGCCGCAGAAATTATCATGCCCCTGATAATCGGAGGGGGAGGCCGAGCAGCTGACAGGGAGCGGGAGTGTGGCTCTGTTGGCTGTGGAGGAAACGGGGGAAGGGCAAAGTCCGGCTGGACAGAGCAGGGGAGAGGTAGAACAAGGGAAAGGGAGTTCAGAGGAAGACCCAGGCCCAGCTCCTCTTCATCCTAGAGCACGCAGGGAGGAACGGAGAAGGGAGCAACGTGAGTTGCATGGCTTATGGGGGAGGAAAGAGCCCTGATTCCCTTTATTAGCTGCAGCTGGGAACACAGTGTTTAAAAAGGCAAGTTGTGTCCGGCAGGCTGTTGGGACCAAATGTGACTTTATCTTGTATCGTGGTGGCTTATCTGTGTTCCTGCTGTCTTCCCAACTGTGTGAGTTTTGCCGTGCTTTCAAGTCTGAAATTCCTGCTCCTGCCAAACTAATTACTTCAGCTTGGTTTGTTTGGACTTTAAGTTACATTTTGGGTTGACCATGTTTTGGACTGAATTTTCTGCAGTCAAAGGCTGTTCTCCAGCCAGAAGGTAACCTGGACATTGGGGGCAAAGTTGGAGATAATAAAGAGACTCTTCTTGCTTATTTGACTGTGTTGCCTTTGTGCCACGCCCCTTTGGGTCATCACAGAAATGTTGGACTCAATTGTGTCATAAGTCGAGAATTACCTGTATTGCAGCAGTCAGAAGTGTACGGTTTGTTTAATTATCCCGTTGTTTGTTTATCCTCCCCACAGTGGAACCGAGTGAGAGCGATCAATCCTGGAACCGACAAGCATCTCGTCGGGGCGATGAGACCTGGAATGGCCATACCAAGAGCCCAGGCTCCCCCAAGATGTCTGAGGGCAGTACGCAAAACGGCAGGTAGAGAGCATCTATCTCACCCTCTTCGCCGTTTGTCGGAGCAATCTCCTTTCTACCAATGAATTAATAGGATTTATGCAGCTCAAATTAGGAAGCGGAATGGGGTGCCCTGTCCCCATTTTGGACATTCCTCCCTACAACAAAATTGGGTGCTATTCGCTTAAGAACCGCTCAGAATTGTGACAGATTTCCCCACAGTCTTGTAATCTGGCTGGTGAATTCTGGAAGTTGAAGTCCATGCATCTTAAAATTGCTGTGGTGAGGAAATCCTGCACACCTAGAGTACTGCATCCAGTTTTGGTCATTGCACTATAAAAAAGACACTGAGACT